AGATCCCAACCATCCTGCTTTCTCCTTCCGTTTCTGAGTTGGCATCAGGAGACCTTAGCACCTGTTTCCTCATCCGCCCACCAGTTCCCTTCTAGAGCATGCGCTGTGGCGATGATCTCTAACTCTCCCCGTCCAAACTGCCGAGGGGATGGACAGGGTTACTTCTCAGGCTCTTACCAGGAAGAGATTTCTTTATCAAAACAACGAGGTAAATCTTTAGATGCCATGTTACCGAGACCTGGGTTTACGGCCAGGCTGACATCTGTCCCGCTGGTGCCCTGGATGCACTGGGTGAGGAAATCAGGGCCCACCGGCGATGCCCCGCCCCCACTCTGGAGTCCATGCCCCTCTGGAGGGCTTCCTGAGGAGTTGCTGCAAGCAGGGAGGGTCATGAAAACGACACCCAGCACTTATTTGATTGTTTCAATTTATCATCAAATCAAGCAAAATGGCCCGGATGGTTCATTTCTTCTGCTCCAGTACAAACCAAATTGAAGATTAAAAATAATAAAATCTGATGTTCCTTATCTGAATGCTCTACAAGTAATCAGCAAATTCAAGTGGGGGGGGGGGGTAACAACCAAAAGCCCAAACGATTTCATACCCCTTCCTCCACCCGCAAATTCTCCGTGCCCCAACTAATGGGAAAAAATAGGTCGTCATGCATGGGAGCTGATTGGTTTGTTCTTATTATTAGCAAGGTAATTATTTGCTCAGCATGAGAAGAAAACAGGCAGTATATTCCATCAGGGGCGAGCTAGTTTTTTCGGCAGACTACACATAGTCTGAACATTGGGATCAAATTTAAATCAGCCACCAAAGGAGCTGGCTTTACCCAAAGAATAGATGGAAAACCTTACCATCGGGAGACAGTACCAAAATGGTTGCTAACCAGAAACACCAAGCAGAGAGGGCATTACTAAACAAGGTGGCCGCGCAGGTGTTCAATTCGTTCTCTGGCCCATTTGGAAGGGAAAAGTGGAGGTGAGCTCTCTCGAAACCCTCCCGAAGGGCTGCGCACAGACAAAGGGGCTGAGAGGAGAAAAAGAGCAGAGCTTACACTGTGCTGCATTGTCCGCCACACTGTCCTCTGGCAAGCAAGGGGAAAGCAGAGTCAAAGGAAAAAGAAACAAAGATTATTATCGACAGAATAGCACAGAGCAGGCATAAGGGTGAGCATCGCAGGCTGGGATTCCTCCGACCCTCGCCCCCACCCCTCAGAATGACCAGAAAGCAGTCTGCATGCACAGCACCACGCTGAATACTTGCTAGAAGGTTCGGGGCGAAATCACTCCCAACTTCATGAATGAAGTTCCAAGCCCAGCTTTAAAAAGAACCTGAGTTTTACAAGCTACATTTCTACTAAATACATAATGCAAAGTACCTCTTTTGCTCTAATACATCCTATGGGCGATGTCAAGTCACCGTGTGATTCCCACCCAAGTGAGCTCAGCATGTCTCTGCTCGGCTGGGCTCGTAACGAGTGGCCTGTTACAAGGGATCGTTTCAAACACTTAGATGGTCAGGTCTTTTCAATTCAGTAGTTTGTGTTGGATTTTCACCCTCTCTCCTTCCAGCGAATTGACACTTCAATAAAAGAGCAAGACACTCATCGTTCTGCCTCACACTTTTCCAGGGAATTCATGGAGTGTAAATTTCAGAAAAGAACCAGGGATCAGCCTCTTTCTGAGCACTGATAGTCACCACTGGCCCCTTTAATTGACAGCCAACAGCAGTGGGCTTGGACAGAAGGCCTGGTAGGGTGAATGCTGTTAATAGGAAAGAGGGCCAAGGCAGCAAGCCTCTCTGTTAAGCAAATTAGCTGATGGCATCCTTTGTCTTCAGTAACTCAACAGTTGGCAGAAGGGGTTGGGGTATTCTCTGACAGGTCAGCTTTCTATCAGCAGTTGAATTAAGACAAATGTATTAAGTAAATACTGGGACAACACAAATAATTTTACGGATGCATAATCTGAAGGCTGACTATGCAAACAGCCACCTAATTTTAAAGGAACACATGGGAATGTTCCTAGATATAAAATAATTTTGTGTTTTATAAATATAGTAAGAGGTGAAATGATGGAACAGATATAGTTTTAAGAGATAGGGTTTTTTATCTGTTTGTTCGTTTGATAAGTTTTCAAAAAGTCTCATGTAAATTTATTTCTCAAACAAACCCCATAAATACCAGGTCATGGAAAATATAATTTAATGGGCGTGAGACAAATTAATAGCCGATTTCAATGTTAATTCTACAGATACAAAATTCAACGTCAATGGTATTAAGAAGTAGCTAATGCAAGATAATTGCATTATCTTGATTTAGGCAAAGGGGTTAGGGTGATTAGACATTCTTTTTAAGCATTGTGCACTGCAGCATTTTCTATGCACAAAGAGTTTGCGAAATGATGAAAAATCTTTCACAATCGGACTCCTTTTCTGGGACACCTACTTCGTACAAATACCCAGCAAACACCTTTTCAGGGAAACATGACAATTGGGGCCTTGTTGAGAAGCAGCCAAGATGGGCAGTGATGTATGGCAGACCGGAGGACAGTGCACAATCCATCTAGCTGGAAGATGATTAGGCCCGACATTTGCACACTGCACACAGGTCCAGAGTCACTGCACCACCTTGCCAGGATGCAGAACTACGCAGAACTCTCAAAGGGAAGAAAGAAAGCCGTGGGGGCACCACAGGCAGCAAATGGAGACTCTGATAGCAGCTTCAGGCCTAGCTCCTGTTTTCCAGAATAACGTTGGTACAGCTGCTTTTGATATGGAAAAATCTCCATTCCTCTTAGAAGCTCAGGAAAGTGGCTCTTGGTTGGCTTCTGACTGGCCCTGAATAACAAATTGCAAATTCTTCCATTGAGGAAGGAATCAAAATTCAATTCAATAATAATAGGGAGGAAAAAAAGGGAATATAACTTCAATTCTCACAGGGCCTTAAGCTCTATGAGGAAGTTGAACTACAGTGGGTGTCAGAGAAGACAGGGATACAATTGGCATTGCGGGTTACCTTTCTATGCTCTGAACCTGCTCCTTCCTTTTACGCAGGATCCTATGGTCAACCCTGCCCATTTATTTTCAGAAAAAAATTAATGAGGGACGCTTTTGTTGTTTTACTGCAGAAATATAAAAAAGTACTAAAGGCCTTTGCTATTTCCCAACAGCAAACTTGTATTTGAGAGCCTTATGAAGATTACCAATGAAGTCTCTTAATAAAAAGTTCAACCTCCAATTTTCATATATTTCAAATTTTAGACTGCACATGAAAGTCTCAAAGTTTGACGGTGGCTCACTTTGCTTGGTTCTGAATTGCATAAAGACAGCTGCTTGGAACAAATGCTTGTCTCCCTTTAAGTTCCTTGTTTAAGGGTTTCTTTTGTGGAGGGAGGAAAACTTGGCTGCTCTGTTTCAAGGGAGGGTCAATTAATTAGTCATCATAAGTATCATTAGGTTGTTTACATTCAATGCAAGTATAACTAAGTGCATAACGCACCCCAGTTCTTTAATTCATTTTTTATGAGAATTTCCAAAACCCTGGCTTGATTATTGCGCCAACTACAAACGGAAGTCCTAACAAGGATAGACTCCATGGTCACTATTCACTCTTCTTGGAAGAACCTTGAAATTCAAACCAATTTGTAAAGTTAAAAACCCAAGCAAATCATGAGTGCTTTAAAACATCTGGTTAGTAGCTAGACGTTTGGTAACATTTATATGGTTGTTAAAAAAAGGAAAGGGTAACGAAATTTTAACTTTCTTCTAAAACGATGGACACAAAATAGAAATAACCAAAGTCAAGTAAGAGGCTCCCAGAAGACACACCGAAGAAAAGGGTATTTTATTTGCTCATAACTGCTGTTAACTTTATGACAATTCGGCTGCTAGCTACTCAGCTTTCCTGTCACACTGGGATTTCAAGGACAGGTCTTCATGTTGCCAAATCCATTTGATCTTTACAGAGAGAAATGCTGAGTTGTACTTACTTTGAGGCCAAACCCAAGCAATTTAATCTTATGAGCTGTAGAAGGGTGATGAGCTAAAATGATAAAGTAATTTATAATAGAGCCCAATAAAAGTATATTAATAACTAGCTACCCTGGAGACCTGAGACCCGAGTTTATATGACACAATCAGATGTGGTTCAAGGACTTTATGACCTTAAGGTTTTTATCTATTAATTTCACATGAACATAATTGGCAAAGTAACATTAACAGTACTAACAATTACAGGTATATAAATTGTTTATAGTCCTGTAAATAGAAGAGATGAAATAGCACCTAATCAGGCAATATTTCTCTGCTGTGATGTTTTTAATTTTTATGGCAAAATCAGATTTGTAAAGCATACTAAAAATGTGTTTGCTACATTCATTGATGGTTTTATTCTCAGTAAATTGTCTTGTTGATTCCATGCAGGCTCCTGTCACACATGTAAAGGGCTCAAAGAGTTGCTACATGTAAGGGTTTCAACTTTCAAAGGGCACACACACACACACACACACCAAAAAAATAAAGAGAGAAGGGAGATAAGGAAAAATGGTAATGAAATTATTTTGGGGTCTCTTTGCAAGGTCTTTCAAAGAGAAACTTTCACATAAAAAGTACAAAAGTTTCACTGTATCATAATTGAATAAACCATCATTTTAAGAAGAGAACTGAAGTAGGATGAATTAGAAATCTGCTATTATACTACTTATAGATCTGGAAGAACTGGTAACAGTCAGTCTTCAAATGAATATTTCAGAAGAAATATGAAGTGGAAATTCTGAGCACCGCATGAGTGGATTAATGGTTATACAATTTCTTAAATAATCGAATCCATGCCCTCAAAGAAAGACCGCACTCTGTTACATAATTCTAATTAAAGGCAGGAGCAGAATGTGACGAGGAGCTGATTCTTCTAATCAGCTTTTCCAGCATCTTAGCATGGGGAGGCGAGAGTACTCTCCGCAGAGAAAGGGACACTGGCCCTCCATCAGAGCACTCACCAGCCGGTCCAAGCTGGTGCCGGCAGCCGTTGTCGGTCTTTCCTCAGGATTGTAGGGCCTGAAGCGAGTGTTAAAGTTCTCTGGAGCTGCCCGGGCTGACCTGAGGGCTGGAGCGGGCTTGGGCTGGCCACATCCCTGGAAGACCTGGAAGAACCAGAGAGAAGTTGAAAAGGCCGCTCCTGCGATCACGACGGAGGCCTGGTGGCACAGCGCGCTGTGCCTTGGGTTCTGACGACAAGGTCAACAGTTCGAAACCACCACCAGCCACGAGAGAAAGAGGAGGCTTTCTACTCCAGTAAAGAGTTACAGTCTCAGAAACCTACAGCGTCACTAGGAATCGAAATCAACTCGAAGGCAGTTTGTTTGTGTTTGGAGATCTTACTGAAAAGAAATGTTTCTTTGAAGTGCAAACAAAGGTACACAACTGCAACCATCGATGGCAGACAAAATTACCCAGGGAGATACGGAGTGAGGGATTGCATGCTCTGCTCCTCGGTTCCCTCCCATGTTAAAATGTGTGACTAGTTGCTCTGGAGTCTCTGAGGGGTGCAAACGGATCACAGGCACCGCAGGAAAGGAGAAGTCCACTCAGAAGAAGCTGGGCATGCTACTTCGGACAGCCAGCCACGGAAAACCCCATGGCGCTCAGCTCCACTTCGGGAGACATCGGGGCTCACCAGGAGTCAGGGTCAGCTCAAGAGCCATTTCGTTCTGAGGAAGCTTTCAAACATAGCATACCTTCATACACCTGAATTCATTCTCAATAAACATCCAGTTGGGATTCTTGTTATCCTGACAAATGTGTCTCATGTCCAGCACATAAGGCCCAATACCTCCAGGGACTCCCCTCTGACTGATGAAGCGCCATCAGAAGACGCAGTGGAAAGGCTCTCTGGAGCAACGGCGTGGAGAGAGGGCATGCACATAAGAGTGGGCTCCGTGTGGTGGCAGTTTCCCTCAGTTTGCTAGTGACAGCTGTTCGCGTCACACTTGGGGTTGCTGTGAGACATCGAACACTTCATTCTAATGATCCAGGGACTGCGCCATCCGCCATCCGTTCTTCCCACGATGGCTTCCCAAACGGGGGCGGGGGTGGGGGTTTGACACTTCAATTGCTGTTTTTAGAAGCTGCAAACTCTGCACTAGGTTTCAAGGGATAATACTATTACTAGAATTCTAGGACACAGAGTAACATTTTCAGAACGCTTTTTTAAATTTTTGCAGTTTTACTGGCATATAATCCACATATCATATAATTCAATAGTTCAATCATATCAAGAAGAATTGTACAATCATTACGCCAATCAATTTTAGAGCATTTTCTTTCTTTTTTCCCCCTCTATGGTTAAGTCGCATTTACAATGAGTCATGTAATCACAATCAGTTCTAGGGTTCCCTCCTACTTCTGCATGCATTGTTTTCTCCCCCAATCCCCAACTCTCTCTATCTCCCAGCCCTCACCCCTACATCCCCTGTAAACCCTTGCACCACTTATTATCTCTGTGCATAACTCCTGTGCTTCACAAATGGAAAACCCAACAGAAACAAAATACAGTGTTAAGGATAAAATAACAACAATATAAAGATGAAAATACAAATAACGAGTAAGAAAGAAAAGGCCACCATCAGTATTTAAAAGGAAGAAATTTTTGTCATGGAACAAGCAAGAAATTCTTGCACCTAGAACAAGTTCAGGTTGGGTCAAGAGGGAGGTCAACTGATCAAGTATCAAGTTTGATCCAGTATAATCACAATTACAATGATCTCTATCTGGTAGTAAAGCCATTCAAAACCCTTGCCTGTGGCTAGAAGGGATCTGCAAGCGGCTTAATCTGACTAGATACTCTGCAGATGGGTTTCAGACTCCCACTGTCCTCCAGAGCCTTCTAAAACTTGGGTGTTTGCAATTTAAGCTCTGATACTTTTCCCTTTGTCATATTTGAATTTCGTTATTGTCATCTTTGGATCACACCAGCTGGTGTGCTTCTTCCAGGTGAACTTGGTTGACTCCTAACTTAGATGGCTGCTTGTTTGAATATAAGCCTTTAAGGCACCAGACAGTATTCTGAATGATAGCCAGGCACCACCTGCTGTCTTCACCACACTTTGCTGTGGCACCTTATCTTTAGTGATCGTTTCAGGAAGGTGAGAACTGAGCAGGATCATGTTATCTGAACTAACTGTTCTTGGATTGGGGCTGGAGTTAAGTGGGGTCCCAGAATCCATCTGCTCGTTCCTGGGACATGCATGACTCAGGTTTACTTTGGCAGTCATGTTAGGACAGAATCAAACCCCCCTGAGACCAATTACACCCAAAACAGCAACAAGCCAAGCAGCAAACTACAACAAACTAACTAACTAACTAACTAACTAAAAGCAGGAAACCAAACCCCCATAGAAACAGAAAAGTAAAACATTGCCAACCACCCCCCCTGGGGTAGAAGGCAATTGCACTGATAACATCATCAGTTTTCCCCATGACACAGCACTCAGGACAGTGTCTGTAAGAGGTGTCTATGCAGGTTCCATTCCCCCGTGCGCTGCGACCCTTGAGTTGTTGTGCCACACGGTTCCATCTTCCATGTGATTGCGCTTTATGGACCCTGAGTAGGGGACTGGGTGCCAGAAGGAAGTTTGAAAACCATTAGATGACACTTCCTACACAGAAGATCATTATGTATGCGGGCTTCCAAAAGATCATGGAAAAACTCCATCATCTTCTAATTCCACTTTTCCAAGAACTCATTGTGGCCCACTCCTGCATGCATGTGTGCATTTTAAAGTAAACTTTTCATTTGGGGGGTGGGGGCGCTGTTCATGTAAGCTAATTTCCAACTTGCGGGTACATATTTAGAAAGCAGACTTGCCTCTTCTTTGATCCCTGGTTGTTAGCGCTAGAGTATGCGGATTTCGTCAAGCACATGAGAGGACTGCACCACAGCTAGCTGAGAGCTCTGGAGCGCCAAGCCCGATGACAAATTTCATCTTGAGAGATGACTCATTCGGTTTTCCCGCGTAGGCTAATTTCTCTCGTGTTGTATTCAAAAGTTCTCCTTCAACTCAGCACTTTACAGAGTGGGAGCACTTTGTCTTAGCATTCCCCGGGATGGGTCTTAACACACTATTGATTACTCTTCCCTGCGCAATCTGAGCAGGGTAGCGTAAACGGGGTGATAAAGAGAGTGGGCCATTTCCCCCCAGTGCTTAAATCACTTCCCAGTGGCAAGGTCGTTGCTGATGGAAGGCATTAACATTTCCAAATCTCCGGGGAATTGTTGACTGTGCTATTTTGACTTGCTTAAAAAATGACAGCTATTTGTTGTTGTTGTTTTTAAAGAGAAGTATAAAGCCTAAGGCAAAACAATACTAATGGTCGTACTGCGATTTCAGGAAGCCCAGGAACTGAAAGCGTTAATAGAACATCCTAATTAGCCCTTGGGGGGCAAAACCTGACTCAATAGGTTAAATTAAATTAAAGGGGCTTGCAATGCCCTGAAATGATCTTAATGCTCTAAGGTAGATACGTCATCTTAGCAGAAAACCTTACCACTTGTTTGATTTTTTTTAAATGGGTGTTAGTTATAACACCAGAATGTAGGTGGGCAAATATAATATACTCGTAGACTAGCCGCTTTCTGTGGATTTTGAGCATAGTTTCAGTGAAGGCGTGGCTGGGGCTGTATCCCAAACCCAAAGGACACACGGACTTCTAGTCATTTGGGGACAACCTCTAGACCTATAGGGACAAGTGAAGATTATAATTACATTATAATCTGTCACAGTCACCTCCTAACTAAGGTTTCCGTTATTCCCATCTCCAAGGGGAATTGTCACCGTAGACACCCTTTCGCGGGATGCCACCACACTCAGGATCCAAGAGCTATTTCCCTGAATTTCACAAGACTTCATGGGAATGGTGGCGAAGGGGATCCCTGAAATAGAGCACCTGTTTCCTCTGGTTTAGCCTGAGAATGATGTGTTACAGAAGCTTGTTCAAATTCAGAATGTTTGAGTCAACCCATCGCAGCCATATCTTACAGAACTTGATTGATGTTATTATTAGGTGCTGCGAATCAGCTCAAGTTCCAACTCAAAGCAATCCTAGTGAAGCAGAACGAAACACAGGCCAGTCCTATGCATCCTCACAGTTACTTCTACGCTTCAGCCCATTGTTGGAATCACTTTGTCAACCCATCTCGCCCAGCACCTTTC